GTGGACTTGCTGATATAGGAACGCTTTCTGTCTTCCTGCAGCGATGGAGCACAAACCGCAGCATCCATCCGGTGTCCTTCCGTCCGCTCCCTGTGGACATAACCAAGTAGGTCGCGGTCCGAACCAGCAAACGGCCATGATGGATGGTGCCGGAGAGCGGCGAGACGTGATTCCCAGGAGACCGAGCGTCTCTCTCTGCAGGTTAAACAGCGCTCAATGCAGAGGAATCGCTTCTGACTTCTGATAGGACACACAAACACAATGTCAGAAGCATACACGAATGACAGTTACATTAATACATGAAAGGTTTTTAAAAGGTCAAAATGTAACTCTAAACTAGTAACTTTAAATGTTGCGCATCAAACAAAACACTTTCGCGTTTGCAGCAGTTTATGGTGGAAATGTCTTTATTCATGTAAAATGAACATGTTTTATGTTGCACAACCGTTTACCTCACTGATACATTTAATTAATTTGTATTGATTCATTAACCCCTGGACATTTAGCATGCCTGAGTTAGCAGTTAGCTCAAGCAAAGAGCAGCGAGCATGACTTTTAGGCTCCGGATTTTGTTTATTCATCTATATTAATTTTTTCTTCTTAGTTTTCACTTCATCTATGGAAATTAATTAGTTTATAAGTTATTTAATAAAACAGTTCAGAAAGAACTGAAAAATGAAATGCTCAATATACTGCAATAAATGTAAAAACTCTATGAAAATAGATAAATGAGGCCAGCTGCAGTGTGGTTTCACTTTCACTTCATCACTTCTTGACTGTGATTGGACGCTCAGCAGCTCAACAACCTTTTATTTATTGATGTGCATTTATTTCCACATGCGATGTGCGATGCGATTACCTACGGGCCAATGAAAGAAACACATTTCTCCTCTCAAAGGCGACGGCTCGGCGGCCGCGGACGGATGAACTCGGGTCCATTAACACATCCCCCCCGTAAGATCCTGCGAGACAGGATGAACACAGATGTTAGAGGACAGAACTAAATGTTTGGGAGTTTTCACTTATTTTACAATGCATGTGACGAGTCGTATTAGGACATGAAAACTCAGGATGCAGTCATTCATCATATATTTATATATGTTTCATGCCAACAATCTGAAATCCTTTGGATTCATTAAATATTTAGTCACTGCTCGGATCTGCATGCAGCTTTGTTAAAGACATTTATGTGCGAGGATCAGAACCTTTTTCCTTTCATCCTGTTCAGGACAAAAGGAACGGAGGGATTTGAGTGACGTGGTGAAACAGTCCACACAAACCCACATTAACAGAGAATGGGTTAAATAATATATAACATGTTATGGCCTTTTCACACGAGGAGCGAAAAAACACAACATTCAAATGCAAAAAATCACCCATCAGTCAAACCGCCGGCTGTGGAAACGACAGTTGCATCACTTCCTTTATAAAAGGTTTGAATAGAGTCCTGCGATCAGAGGATTATGTTGACCCAGAGCCAGCATGAGGCCGTCAGTCTGAGGTCGACAGCAGCACAGATGAGCTACTGCAAGACGTTTGATTGAGGTAAACAGTTGAGCTGCGTATGTGTCCTGGGCTTTTATTGTGAAAGGGTAGAAGAGGCTGAGTCTGCCTATGTCGCTATTGAAAGGAAAAATTAAGTCTATAAAGTATTGGATCAGACTAAGGATAATAAAATGTACTTTTTATGAATGGGTTTGTTTCGTAAAACGTGATTGGTTGATGCCTTAATTGGTTTAAACTGCATTTACAGACACATTTCCCAAAAATCTTGAAAGAACTTCGGCCTGATGTTGTGCGTTCACATCAGCATGAATTTCCTCCTTGGGTCGAGATGTTTTCTGAGTCCTTCATGACACCTGAGGAGATATCTGCAGGCAGAGTCTGAGAGGAGGCAATCAGTCCAGCGGCTCTCAGTCCTCCTCAGACGCAGTCCAGTGACTCCTTTAATTAAGAAAAAACGTCAATTTGACATTTTCCGATGATAAATGTCTCTGGGAGCGAATCCAGCACCTGGAGGCAGAACCAAGGCAGGAGAAGCTCTGGAGAGACGAGCAGGGGCCTCGTTTGCGGCCTCCCGGGGGTCTCGTGGGCCTCTCGCGTACCTGCCTGCAAGGTGTCATGGCGGCGCGCTGGGACCAGCCCCGGTCCTCGGCCGCCTCATCCGACCTTCAACAAACAGCTCTGACCCCGACATTAATCATCAGCAGGCGGCGGCGTGTCTCTCCCCCAGCGCGTTGGACCTGTCGAACCGCCCCCCCAAACTCGCCTCATTCCCCTGTTGACGTCCACCCTCCTCGTCCTCCATGTCTTCCACTCCCACGCGGCTTTTCTCCTTAAGGTTCTCACATGACCAGTGATCCTTTAGAAGCTCTGATGATTTCATGAGCGTTGTTTATGTCTTAGTCGAAAGACTTTTAGTCCCCGAGGGTTGATGATATTAGTTACGACGATACGAGCCTCTCACTTCAGCAGATGCCTCACTCTTGTTTTCCTCTGGAAGTCTCTGTGACCTTCCTGGTCAGTGATATTTTTCAAATCTTGTTTGACTTACTGAAATCTTTTGATCCAATATGTTCCACTTCTTTCTCAATGAACTTCACTACTAACTACTTTTTAGGCTTTTTTTCATGGCATTTTCATGACATTTCTAGACTTTTCTTTAATGAAATATTAAATGAAATGTTAAAATATTTTTAAAAGACACTTTTTTGAAGTAATACGTTTTCAATTCATTTATTGTGACTTTTTTTGACCTGATATTATTTTTGTCAGGATTTTCTTCTGACTGATATTTTTAGTCTTTTTTACCACTTATCACTACAAACAAATATTTTTAATTTCATTTTCCGTGACATTTTTCAATCAAACATTTATAAAAAGTCATAACAGTAACTACCAAATATTGATTTGACATTTGACATTTGTCACAAATATTTTTTACATTTTTTATTTTTATGATATTTCACAACTAAATATTTTTTATACTCGTTTTTTCAAATCCTTTTTTTGAGCAAATATTTTTTGACATATTTCAGCCTTCTGTTCCTCTGACTTTGGTTGTGAACTTGGCTGCTCGTTCAAGAACGCCAGAGACCAAAACAGATTCATGAGCCCAGCCGAGTGGCGGTTCCCTGAATGTCACCTTCCTGTCTGACACTCCGAGAGGAAGAAGGTGTTTTGCATTTTACTTCCTGTAATTCGTGAGTAATATTGTTGAGGTTTGGACAAAGACAAACATTCTGAAGCTGGCACTTTGGGCTCAAAACCATTAATCAATTGATTATACCACTAACCAATTCTTCATTCACACAAAAAGATTTTTCCAGCTGATGTTAATTAAATGAACAGCTGGACGGCAGTGGCGTTGGGGAAAGAGGTAGAAGGAAGGAGGAAGGAAGAATGAGGAAGGAGAATGGACTTCAAATCCTTTCACAGACCTGATGTTGAATTCATCTGGGCATGAAACAAAGAGGATTCATATGCAGCAAACTCATATATATGTATACGTATATATACACACATATACTTTATGCATACACTTTATATGTATCATATATCAAGCCAGAGTGTGAGTGTGTTTTTGTACAAAGTATGAACATTTACGTGATTCACATCCAGCAAACATTAAGCTCCTGAGACTAAATTATTCAAATGGAAAACTTCCCACAGACAAACTCACACACACACACACACACACACACACACACACACACACACACACACACACACACACACACACACACACACACATGCTCTCCACGCACAGCGACACAGTGTTTATGTACTGTGTGTTATATAAAACGCGATTCACGTTGATGGAAAAAGACATCACTCTGCTGTGAAAGGCCTGCATGTGTTTGATAGAGTGCGTGTGTGTGTGTTAGTGGGCGTGAGTGAGTGTGCATCTCTCCCATCATGCTAATGTTACATGTAGGATGAGTTTTAGGGAGAAACTGCTGCATTTTTCATGTCTCCTGCATCCATTACAGCCCTCCGCTCTGGGGGCGATAAAACATCTGTTTATTATCAGTGGCAGATGTTTTTGTATGTTCTATAGATCTTTCAGAGTGAAAGACAGGATTAAAAAAGGAAAATCACTGGATATTTTATTTAGACGTTCAGAGTTAAAGTGTGGTACATTCTCTGTTCATCAGTGAGACACAATGGACAAAGCTTGTAACGTGTCCTCTGTTACGAAATCTTTGTTCTCCTGAAAATGTCGAGCAACACGTGTCAGATTCGGCTCGTCTGCGTTCAGATTTTTCAAAATGAATCTTTGTAGTTTGGAAAAAGATTGTGAAATTCTTGGTTCGGTTAATGGAACTAAAATAGGTCGTTGAGTTGAAGTAAGACAACTATTTGGTTAGGTTAAGATAAATAGAATATTTATTTAAGTGGATTTAGGCGTTATGGAGGGACGGTTCCATCTGGAATCCAACCGTCGTCTCTGCCTCTCTGACAGCAGGATTACAAGAAGCAACTTAAGCAAACAGTTTTAATTGTTCATCTTCTTCTTTCTCCGAGGCGTCAAGGACACAAAGTTACAGTAAACTGTTGGTTTGTGTTCAGACTGTTTGTACGTGTGAATGAACATGAATATTCATATGACATTAACATTTGAAAAGAGCATTTCAAGATAAAATCCATCAGCTGCTCACCGATTCCAAAACACGCTGAGACGTTCGCAAAAACCTTCTGCTGAAGAACTACTTTACTTTTTCCCGCTGATGATGGAAAAAACTATTTTATGTTGAGGTTAATCTGTATTTGGAGATATATTGAGCATATTTGAAAACATCTGCACAATAATGTCCCTCAGGACAGTCTTTTAGGTTTGCGTTGGTTTTCTGGCAGATGCAAACACTGTGGATCTTTTTTTCTCTTCATATTGAGCTCAATGAAGATTGAAGATGCACAACTCACAAAATGGAACTCTGTAAGTCAAACGGAGAACGCAGCCATGCAAACGTCTCCAAACAAACTACCTGGAGACCACGCAGGGAATATGGTGCACTTTTATTTTTACCAAACTGGCAAAATCGTTGTCATCTTTGAACTTTGTGTCGCAAAAAAAGTAATTAAGAGAATACAATTGTTTCCAATTTAATGACACGCGCATCAGGACGACTTTAGGTGGAGGAACGAATGAATAACAGAGTTATGAGAGGGGCATGATATTATAACACATTTACAAGAGAACATTGTTATTTACAATGATAATATACTTGCATCTGTTCAATGCATTCCGTTCTGAATAGGTGCAATTCCACCCACAAATTGCTTTGTTACACAGAACCACCTGAGAAACCATTAGTGGAAACGGTTTGGAAAAGGGCGGGCTCTTTAAAAAATATATAAAATATACATACATCAAATTGAAATACGTTGATTACAATTAGAGTCATTTGACCATAAAAAGCAAAGCCATGTTTTTCCTTGAGTAAAAAAAAACACACATTCTCGTTGGACCTTTGAAAGATTCCACAAAATAACAAGTCAGATACATTTATTCCAATTCATCCTGATAGCGATGTGAATGTGTGAACTAAATGTTATTTTCTTATATCTACATTCTGTGCTTCTCTTTTATAGACATGGGAGGGAACATTAGTCCACCAGTTTAATGTGACTGAACAATTATGGTTTCTCCAGCTGTCTATATGTGGTAGTGAATGTTTTATTAAGTTATAATTAAGCCACCACACTTCTGGAACAACATGTTCTGCAAAAGACACTGTCAAGTTTGGCTGTGACGGTGGTTTAGTAGCCCCGAGGCTAAAGAAATACTCACGGTTATTCTCCTTCCTTCAGTTACACACACACACACACACACACACACACACACACACACACACACACACACACACACACACACACACACCGCATATGTCTGCTAAATGCAGCACTGTTCCAGTGATCCATCGTACATCGGGACGCTCACGTCCACACAGCGCTGTCACAGCTGCCGGAGGTCAGGTGTCTTGCCCAAGGACACATCGGACACAACGGGATTGAACCGCCGCCCCTCTGGTTGCAGGACGACCTTGCTGTCCACGGAGCCCGCAGTCGTAACAGAAGTTGTGAATGTATTCAGGCTTTTAGTGGCGTTAAATGGAGCATGACGACTTGCTGACATCAGCTCGACTCCCTGCAGCCACGACAATACACAATGTCGTGTAATGTCGGGGGGGGGGGTTTAAGGTGAGCTGCTGCAAACTTTCTTAACTCATTTTACGACCATTTTAACGGTCTTTGCTTTAGTGGGGAGGGTGAAGTTCTGTATTTGTTGAGGAAGTCTGCAGGAAGTAGTAATGAGATATTCAGAACACAAGATTCATAGAAAAGAAATGCACCTTATTAAAGTGATCTTCTGGTGAATTCCTGTTCTCGTTGTAAAAAGTGGGCTAATATGCTGAGGGAGAGAACTAGGCCAGCATATGAAGTTAATAAATAAAAAAGCAGCGTGTAAGAGCAATGAAGCCTTAGAGAGCCCAGCCCACATTCTGCTCAGTATTTTTAGTTCATCTGAGGTCTGGATTCATTCAGTCACTGAATTCAGCAGGAGAATGTCGGAAGGCTTTATATTTGATCGGGAGACGACAGAGTCCATAACACCCTTCAGACAGATAAGAAGTCTCTGGAAAATCACCTACATGAGTGTGTTAGTGTATACATCCTACACTGTGGTGGTCTTCTATCGCTCACTTTTAGTCATAAACATCGTAGCAGCTTGCTTCACTTCAACTCATTTCAATGTTTTAATGGGAGCAGATTTTTGAAACTGTGTTTACTGCTCTCCCCCTAAAGTACTTTTCAACTCCCGTAAACCTTCAGACTTCAGTCTCGGTCGATTGGGTTGTGACGTGGTTGCCGCGGTAACCAGCGAGTGTGGTTCATTACACTCGCCTTCCGATTGCTTGTTTGCAAATCCGGCTGAATGCTTTTATTGTAAAGCGGCAGAAAGAAGCCCAGCCAGCATCAGCCGTTATCTTAAAACACGTTCTGCTTCTCAAGCCTATTTCTCTTTTTTGATATTTGGCAGATTGCAGCCATGCTTGAACTGGGACCTAAAGCGCCAACATCTGACCACCAGGTGATGGAAACGCCACAGTTTTCTTCCAAAGGTTTCCATAAAACCATAAGATGACTTTGAGAATTGAATGGAAATGAATGTTCAATAGAGGCCCAAGAACGGGGTTAAGACACCTTGATGCACACTTGTTTGATGCAGGAGAAGAAACCCTTTGAGATGAGGCCCAGAGGTGTTTTCTGTTGAATGAAAAACTTCATAGTGGCAGAGGAAACAGAGACTTTGAGTGGATCTCCTCTGGTCAACGGAGACTCAAATAAGGCAAGGACCTACAGACGCACTGCATTCTGGGATTTGCTAAACTACAATAACTGAAGGAAAACTCAACGCCACTTGCTCACGAAAAAGATTTATATGTTGTAACTAATGATTTAATTGTTAATTAATTACTTGGATCTTATTGTCATTTACAGCTGAAGGAAATGTATGATTTGCAAATTCAACCGAGCCAATGAGGTTTGTTCACCAGCAAACCGAAAGTTATGGTATTAAAAGGTAATTGTGCATTGAAAACTTTTACAAAGGATGACCAGAAAGTGGGATAAAAACTTTTCTGTATTTTTGCCGTCAGACATGTACTAAATAAAACATCTCTACAAAGATACAACTTATCCATCCATTGTCAAACCGCTTATCCTGCACACAGGGTCGCGGGGGGGCTGGAGTCCATCCCAGCCAACTTCGGGCGATAAAGATACAACTTATACAATAGTTAAATATGGAACTTCAGGCTTTTGAAAATACATTTAATGCTTCTCCTACCGCATGAAACAGACATGACCGCTTTGCTTCTTTTGTGAAATTCTTTGCCCGTTTCATCAAAACCTGCCAAGCCGACGGCATGTCGTCCCCACGTGGCAGCGGAGGATGTAAAAGCTGAGTGGAGGCATGACGCAGTCTGGTGGAGGAGAAATTTAATCCAGAACTCAAACTGACACCAAACAGTTTGGGAATATAAATTAGAAGTTGGACGTAGACATACATCTGTCCACCAGGAGGCGCCGCTCGTTCCCATGACCCATTATGTAGACTGAAGTCTTCTAAAGTTAGGTAACAAAGTAGAAACATAATGGAAACTTTTGTTTCTACTCAAATAAGAACCCTGTTTGAAAACTTTGTGAAGGTTGGAGCGGGGACCTTCTGAGGGTTTTACCATGGGACCAGCATAAAGGTTCCACCGAGAACCCCCTAAGAGGTTCTACAGGCAATCCTTCGTGGGAACAGACCACAATATTTTTCCAAGAACCATTTAGAATTCTTTGACTTGTTTCAACATTGAACCCTTGAGAAGGTTGTACCGATAAACCAACACAAAGGGTTGTACCCAAAACTATCTGAGAGGTATTACAAAGCATCTTTCTATGGTGCAATGGTTTAGTCCACATGTCTGATATTCTATGCAGAAGCGTTTAGACCTGCCAATGGCGCTAACAAGAATCTACCCAGGTTTCTTTTTTACTGAGAAGCTTTTTATATTTCAAGAGTTCATTGGGAATCGACCCGGGGGGTTCTACCAAGAACCCTTTAACAATCCAAAGGTTTTATCTCTGAAAGAACCCTACAGAATCAGGCTGACTGAACAGTGACTTTTTCAACATTCCTAATGAAACAGGACTTGGACTCTCATATGAAAAGGGTGGAACCTCAGCTGTTCAGCAGGAGCCCGTTTTCAAAGTAGCCGTCCAATAAATGAAGTGGAGTTTATGGTTGTACTTTATAGTTAAATTCCGCCACGTTTTCATGTTTTTTGCTAGTTTTATTCCAACCATGAATGGCGGATGACATTTTTCACCTTCTCCACCCAACTGATGTACAGCACATAGATGAATTTCCCAACAGAAACTCATTTACATGTTTGCACATGTTTGCTCAGTTACAATAGACTGTATAATATCACAACGTGTTCATTTCTTTACATATGTATGGTGAAAACCTCATAGTCGGCTCATCTTTGGTCTGTGAAAAGTTTTGAGTCTCACAAAAAGTCCATCCAGCATCACATCTCCTGGAAAATAAACATTTTATTTCCAGGAAAAGTCCGGCCGCAGTTTCATCAGGTCGGCCCGAGCGCGACACAGAAATTGACGAGGGCCCGTCCCTGGCTCTGAGGGGGGCTTGTGATTGGTTGGTCGGCCCTTTGCGGTGACGGTGATGGACGATGGGAAACGGTCTTTCTCCAGAAAGCGCCTGTCTTCGCCGCCGCTGTCAGGAGACCTGGAGGACACAAATACTGAGGCGTCAAAACCAGAAGGTCCGCTTGTACAGTATAGCAGGTTCTATATACCGAACTAAATCACATTACATTACATAGCATATCATTTAGCTGACGCTTTTGAGCAAAGAGACTTACACAAAATCACAAAATAAATGTCAAGTGCTTCATCCAGAGCAAGTATTCGGCTTTGTGTCAATCAAACACAACCAGAGCGCCTCAGAGACAATTGCTAATAATTGCTTCAAGGAAAAGAATTAGTAGAAGAAGAAGAAAATGAAGCGGAAGCAGCTCTGAGACGCCCCCCACCCCTCTGAATTATTAATTTCCACCCTGTTTAACTGCAGCTGGAAAACCTGATAGAGCCAGAGGAGTCAAACAAGGACGAGCCGGATTACACTGAGAACTCGTACATCATTCTGGAACCGCATCGACATTCAGGTTCCCCCCGCCGCCCCATGCCCCCCATCCCCTAAACACTCCGCTGAATTGAACATGAAGGGAAGGTGTGTTTGGATCATTCGTAAGAGGACAGCGTTGTCGAGGAGGACTCAAAGTGTCAACGTTGACTCTGTTACTTTCGATATAAAACCTGCTGACAGGGTGTGGTCATGTGACGTGCACACGAGTGTGGTCACACTCACTGTGGTGGTCTTGACCCGCCCCCCCGGTTGAGTGCAGGTCCAGCCCGACTGGTTGACCAGCAGGTCGCAGCCTTCGTCGTCCAGACACGGAGACATCTCGCACCACTGACGGGTCCACACGATGCGACCTGGGGGGGAGGACAGGGAAGAGGGGGGCACGGGTGAGGTCACTCCATCATTATGATAAGCAATGTAGAATATATTTTTAGACGGAATCTTGTTTTCATCTTTATTCTCTTAACATAACGACTTTATGTGACACCTTTGCCTCTATCACGCGTTCACTCTCTTCAGATTATGGCACTTCTCTTAAAATGAATTCCATCTTTATTCTTGTAATCTGCGAGGCAAATGTAGCAGAGCAAACCCACGGAGAAACGGAAGTTTCTGTTTACTGTAAACTCCTCGGCTATTTATAAAGAAATAGCACATTCTCACAAACACATTTGCATATAACGGCTCCCTGATTAGCCCGCAGAGAGAGACGGGTGGGAGGTGTGTGGAGTGAAGGATGCATCTCACAGGGGCAAGTTTTTGAGCTATTTTTTTGAGGGCTTTATAGCACGGCGATAACGACAATAAAAAAGTCCTCAAATATTGTTCGGGATAATGGGGAGAAAAAACCCTTCTTTTCTCATAATCTAAAGGAAGAACGGGCTCTGTTCTCCGCCTGACCAGTAGACTGATTACATACAGCTGAAAAAAGGGACAGCAGAGTCTCTCGAGGATGTTCTGTTTTTTTCTGAGCGAAGAGAATGACTCACACTTTATCTCGGCCCTCTCAAAATGTCCCTCTGCCACCGGAGGGGAAATATATGCACGTAAAGTACATAAAGTAGATAAAGTAATGTTCTCATTATGGGGGAAGCAGAGAAAGATTTTCTAACAAATGTGACTACTTAAATCAGCCTTTTTCTTGATTAGCATAATTTATAACCAAATGTTAAACCATTCCTCTCAATTTATAGCATTGGTTCTAAAATACTTATTATCCCGTATAATACCGTATTATGTATCCATAATGTGTTCCTTGTATCACATCCAAGGCCTCATTAAGATGAGATTTCTTCATCGAGTCAACCTTTACCTTTAAAGCACATTTTATACCCAGATCACGTCGCTGTGCTTCACATAGAGAAACATTAAAAAACAAATCACATGCAAAGTGAAGAGCGGCGTGGTCGCAGACTGCAGGTAAGTGGTGTTTCTTACGCTGTGTCTCGCCTCTCGCTTTCGTTTCGACAAGAACTCTCCACTCTGAGGGGTTCCCCGCTGTTAGGGCGACACTTCACTGACCCGAGCAGCTTCGCTTTCATTGCCGGGACTAAATTACCCCCCGCCAGCCCAGGGAAGGATGAAGGGGGACGAGAGTCTGCACAGGCCTGTGATACATAACCAGGTAATCAGCGCTCCCTCTGGAGCAGCAGAGCGCTGGTGTGATTGTGATCGCCCGTTAGCCCCCAATTATCAAACCAATTTCCTACTGAACAGCAGCTCCTCTCATCCGTGGTAGTTAATTCTCACATTGAGAGGGATCCACGGGGGCATTCTTCATCCGCTACTTTTAGTAAAGGTCCTTTTTTCCATCTTAAGCTTTAAAAATACAAAAACAGGACGGTGGTGTTAAAGGTTCATTCCACCATTCAGTTAAGTCTTCGAGGTGCTTGTCCTCTCCGGAGGAGGAGATGGACATATGTCTGTCCATTTAGATTTTAGGTAAAAACTTTGACTGTGTGCAGTCAGATGTCTGAGAGAAACGTCTGCATGTTCCATCGTGCTTTTATTTAGCTGAAAGTCCTCCTTAGAAATAGATTTAGATTTGGACGGTCATTACCATAGCAACGACGTTTCTAAGCATTCGTCTTGGATTGAGTCACTTTGTGAATAATACATATTGTACTTATTTGTTCTCATTGAAGCAGAAAAGAAGAATATCAACGATCACCAGCTCTTGGTTCTGTATGTTTGCTGTTTAGATTTTTGATGGATGAAGTCAGAAACTTTCCCTGTAACGAAGGATTAATCTCTATCTAGGTGTATCGTGAACACCTGCGAGCGCAGATAAATGATCAATCAGCAGGTCATTCATCCCGGAAGAGAGGTGGCCATTTCATCATCGCTTCATTCATCGACGGCTGGGTCCGGGAGGAGGGACGCTGCCTCGTTCCCCCCCGAGAGGAACCAACCAAAAGAGGCGAAGGACCAACAGCTGGACGTTAATATGAAGACTGTCAGAGTCTGAACAGGAAGTGGTGTGAGGAACCATTATTCCCATCTCCTTTAAACCGCTGTTATTTCAACCGTTCCTCCTTTTCATCAATGTCCCTTCTGCAGGTAAATGTCCGCCCTTTATTGTCCCTCCTTGTCCTCTCCTTAGACTCTGTGTTACTGCGGTGGTTTTACTGCAGACTTTACCGTCAACATACAGCTTAAAAACGCACCTCAGAATCACAAAGACGTCATTTCATAATTACGAGACAAACACGTCCTGATTAAACATAACGAGGGGATGAATATGAGATCTCCTCTATAGTCGTCCCGGGTTTCATTATCATAAAATAAGAGTGAATGTAATCATGGTTCACATATCACGATGAGTAAATGTGCACAGACATCTCACGCCTAATTCTCAATGTGATAGTCATGAAGTCAATACGAGAACATATTTTACTTTCCTATTTGTTGAAAAAGTTACTGCCTCTGCAATATTCACTTTTTCCACATTAAATTGACTTGATTGGAATTCCAACACACATTTTTCTCTCTTGTCCTCAAGTTGTTTCCATATAAAAATGTTGGAATTGGAACATAAGATTAAATTACAATTACAATAGTCGTTGGACAGAACTAAAAAAAAAAGTTTTTTCTGCTGATGAGGTAAAAAAAAACTTCATTAAATCTTTATTGAATGTGGTATTTTAGGACGTTTTGTCCCAGCTGTAATAATCCTAAAGGAATCCCATGCTGACGAGATGAAAATCTACAATCCGAGGAGAAGTTCTGTTTCCTCAGGAGCTCAGCGGGGGAGAAAGCAGCAGGAGGAGACAGTCGGTGACTAAATAAAACGCAACTCTGGGCTCGGTCGTTCTGGACCTTGTGCTCCAGATGTGGATCTAGAGGGGAGGCCTTAAATATCTGTGAGTGTGCTAAAAGAAAGGTTTAGCCTCAGGAGACCGTCTGCAGACTCACCGAAATCCCTCAACATGAACCTAATCAATTCTAAACGTGCTGAGAAACACACACCAAACTTTTCACGACATATAAAACCGTTTCATTTTGATATCATCATGAAGCTTAGCCAGTTGGACCATTATTTTTATCACCATCACTCCCCCATCACTCAAAACTCTAAAATGAATAATCAGAACATAAAGGCCTCAGCCACTATATTTACAAAAAATATAATAAAATGTTGTATAAGTCTCTGAATGAATTATGAATCCTCCTGCCCGTGTGGACATTAACTCTCACCGTCCACGCAGGCCGGTCTGGCTCGCGTCGTCCCGGCGATCCGTCCCTTCCTGCAGGCGCAGCGGGCCGTCTGCCGGGCGATGGTCCTCCTCGGCTGGCTGCTGTCTCGGTCCAGAGTGACGATTTCGCAGGTGCCCGCCGCCAGCTGACCTGAGGGGAATGGAAAGTCCGTTGTGAAAAGACATTTCAGTTGGTATTTAGCGAAGTGCAACGCGTGCTTTCATTTCCTGGTGTGCTACCATTGGTATGGTTACGGGTGGACCAGATACATACATACAGACCAGATCAGAGAATAAAACCTGTGCAAACAAACATTCACATTCATGACGGTGGCAACCAATTTTCTTTTATGTGCCGTTGCCATGGCGACCGTTGGAGCGAGCTATACATTGGATGAAGTGAACTGCCTGTAAAGGACTCACTGAGGTGAGATTTAACTGGTCAGTGCATCATCAACACATAACCCTATTATTAGATAATAGACCACTTTGTTCTGCTTATTCTCTGTGACCACTGTGGAATAAACGAGTCGATCGGAAAGGGTGAGCTAGCTGGCAGTAAGTAGTAGAGCAGGCTAATAGCGAATAGCTTTGTGCGCTGCTGGTTACAGTAAAGGCGCGTTGGTCAGTTCGAGGGAAGGACGCTAACTAGCCTTTCATCCGTCGCCACGACAAAAGCCATTTCCTGTCGTACTAGTCGAGTGATCAGAGAAAACCAACCAATAGTCTAAAGCCAAAAGTTCAGGGCCATGACCACATCATCAGCTGACTTGTTGACTTAAATTTAGGCTCACTTGAAATGATTATCTGGTGATTATGGGATGTCCAAAATAAAGGCTTAACTTGCCTTTAGCAGGTCTGTAGGAGGATAGTCTGTTATTTTGTCAACTAGAAGCCTGGAAGCTCTTCTGTGCCTCTATAACCTAGAGGTTTCCACCTTTCTACCCTTTTTCTACCTTTCATAAAGTCCTCGTTAGTCTTTTTTCAGTCTTCGTAAAAGTCCTCAAGAACTGCTTAAACCAAATTTTGAAATTGAAGTAATCGGGTCACAATAGTCAGTTTTACCCCCACGAGGAGTAGAAATGTCTGTACATGATGTCAAATACATCCATTAAATATCTGTTGAGTGTGGACCAAAGTGTGTACAGAATAACTTATAAATAAATAAATAAATTCTATTTCTGCCATTAGAATGTACTAAAGATTTTATGAACGAATAAAAGTAATCGTTGAAGTCTGAAGGTACGGACGACGGAGGGGTGAGTGTTGGGTGAGTCAGAGGGGACAGAAGCTGCATTTGGTCGCCGTGGGGACGGCAGACGCTCCCCCTGAATGCTGATGAACTGTCATCAATAGAGCGATGGACCGTCTCCCTCTTCGGAGAGGACCAGGACCTCAGAGGCAGGAGAACAGGGGGAGCAGTTCTTCAGAAAGACGGAGGGCAGCGGAGGGCAGAGCGGGAAAAACAACATCCACAACAGCTCGTTTAGCCTCACAGGCAGAAACCGCTCGAAAGACGTTCAGCAGACTTCTGTGAAGCAGGAAGCTGACAGGTCACAACTGCCAAGGAAACAACAATCAACAACAAACATAAAAGGAAGCACCTTAAAAGGACTTCAATATGACCAATCCAACCAAATGTACAAATGTACATTCAACCTGATTAGTTTTTTACTTTGACAATTCTAATAAAGTTTAGTCTTTTAAAACTTATTTTCTCTGTAGTGACCAGCAGGGGGCGACTCCTCTGGTCCCATAGAAGTCTATGAGAAAATGACTACTTCTCTCTTGATTTATTACGTCGTAAACATGAGTTCATGGTCTCTATTTTACTGTGATTGACAGGTCATAAACGATCCTTCCTTAAACAATGCACACTGCTGTAACGGCTTCGCTCAAAAAGTATTTAAGGAAACTGGAAGCTCTTTAAAATCATGTGTTTATTTATGAGAACGCTCGGTGGGAGGAAGTTTCTGACACACTTGTAGAGTATAAATTGTAATTTGGCCGTTTTAAAGGCCACTCGGGTTCTCCAGCTGCTCAAGAGAGAAATCCCTTCTGATGTTTCTGCAGCCGCAGCTTTTTAAAAGCTTCGTCTCGCCGACGGAAACATGATGGAGGAGGCGAGAGGTTTAAAGATGGACCACTAAAGACGACGCAGGGTTGTTGTTGTTGTTGATGTTCCTGTCGGCCCGGAGTCATCGCGGCTGTCCCGCCGGGTGAGTTGACGTCGCGGTGGATCGATGCCTGCGAGCCAAAGAGCATTTTGTTCTCTGTAAAAACACAACCGCCTCTACTTTACAGCATGTTCCCTCCAAAGCGAGGTATAAAAACACCAGTTGGAGTCAGAAACAACGTCGCAGAGCAAGACACCCAACCCCTAAATGCTTCCCTGGTAGCCCTAACGGCTACCAGGGGAGCTGGGTTAAAAATGCAATGCAATGTAAGTTGCTTTGGATAAAATGTAATATGATGTAATCCCGAAACATCCTAACAGCAAGTACCTTTTGTTCACGACTTGGTTTGTATTTCTAATTTCCCGTCAGTAGAGGATGGGAGAACTTCCACGGCTGACGTTAGAAACGCAAACAGTGTTGACAATGTACGTCTCTGTTGAGACTCTGTGCAGTTTAAATGAAGCTCATAATTACTTCTGACAGGGTGCATTAACGCGACTTCTGCTTTCTGTCTGATGTGTCCGCCCCCTCCCGTTAGCCTGGAGGCAACATGGAAGCTGATAAACTCTCTCATCTCTGTCTGAGAGCTGCTGTCATGATGTCTTCCTCCTCCTCCTCCTCCTCCACCTCCTCTTCCTCCTCATCCTCCCTGTGTACGTACAGACAGTCAGACCTCTGTGAGCTCAGCGATTTCATGTTTAAAGGTTGCAAAGGTCACGGTGGCGAAAAGTGTTAGAGCTCCACGACATGCAGAGAAGACACGTTCACCTCAGTTCCCTCGAATGTAATCCTATCTGACACAAAGGTCAAAGGTCGGCCACACACACAACCAGACCTCTACAAGGAGGGAAGCACGAGAGTATTTCATGATGGATGTACATGAACAGTCAGGAATAATACATAAATGATAATAATGCAAGATAGTTGTTATGATCCAACAATAGCTGAAGCCTGTTGACGGTTGAGACGTTTTTGGGAAGTAAGTCGGTTCATCTCATACAGAGACATTCCACCACTGCTATTACATCATCGAACATCTAGAGCAAAACAATCCGGTGGGACGATTAATCAGAGGAAGATCAGACTGCGAATCAAAGGACGAGCATCACAGGATTGCCCTTTTTCCATTTCAAAGATCCTGAACCCTCGGAGCCGCTGAGGGCCGAGAAGCCCCGGAGCTTTTCTACAGTAATTGGGACCCGGTGTGCATGTGTGTGATGTGAGAGCCGCTGCTCGCTAACAGGTAACCCATGGTAACCGGCGGCGGGCAGAGCAGAGGCCTCTGGCTGCTCGTTAGCTACAGCTCGTCACCCGACGCCTCGTAATCCTCAATCTGCTGCAGATCACCAGGATGAAGACGCCATTGTGTTTCATCCAGAGCAGAGCATGCTGGGAGGAGACGGCTGAGCAGCTGGATGACACGTAATAATGTTGCTAATAAGGAAATAGTTATCCGAATAAACAAAAGAAGGAAATCTGTTGGAGGTCTGACAGGAAGGACTCCAGTTGGTCTGCACGAGTTTTACCAGTTATTCTGGGTCGACTGGTTTAACCACGTCGCGCTGATTTGATCCCAGACTCCTACTGAAGCGTACTTGTGAGTGAGGAGACCTTCTGGCTTTGATTCTCACATACTTTTTTTATTCAACATCTAGTGGGAGAATCCTTTGTCTTGTGAGCCGCATTAAAAAAACTTCCATTGTATTTTAATAAAAATCGACATGCACGTGAAAGCTCAGACGGTGGCTGAAAGTCGACTTGGCCGTCAGATTGTTTTGTAAAGCTTCTCAAAGCCGATCATTCAAACTCCTCATGTTGCGTTCATTTGGAAAGCAGATACTTCTTTTGTTATTACCTACATTGTTTTTTTCTGAAAAACAGGAAATACAAGTCTAACTAAAATTGAATTGTTTTTTTTATAAATTAAATGTTTCCTGCCGACAGTCAGACTCAGTGGAAATATATCATATTGTCTCAATAAAACAAAGAATCGGAACCTCTGAGGCTTTATAAACTTCATTTTGGAAAGTTTAGGGATAAAGGGATGAAGTTTATTACCTTCACAGTAACATCTACCACACAGATAAAGTCTCCTTTCATGATTGACATTTATTATGACTGTGTGACTCACAGATGACTCACAAAGCCTCACGTTACTGAATAATGAAATTACAGAGTTGTTTTTTCTCCGCTCGGACTGCTGTTTCCCCCCATTACGCCGACGTGTGACCTGAATGAGAGGAAGGACGATAAACAGATGAACGAGAGCTTTTATTAACCCTCGTCTTACTTTCATAAATCCCCTGCAAATTGAAATATAACAACGACGACCACAGAGCAAAGAAAACCATCCCGAGAGTGAACAACGCTGACCCTCCGATGGCACGTTACCACAGCGACTGAGTGCAGCTTTAAGACAGAAAGTTGCACATGAAAAGAAAGGTCAAAGGTCGGATCGGGCTTTCCATTTGGCCCGTGGCACGGGAATCAATAGCGAGAACGTTTTCCTCGTAAGAGAGGAAATAACAAGGACATTTGATCTGAGGGAAATATTTATATTAGATTATTATTATTCATCAAATTATTTAATCAAATGAATTTATTTTAGTTAGTTAGCATGTTGAAAACATACCTGTTTAGAACTTGATTCTTTCGGACGAGCCACAAACCCCCAAAACATAATTTTTTCCTTTTAAATACATAAGATCATTACCTTTTTACTATTGTTAAATATCACTTACTTTTTATTGACAGTTTTCTTAAATCAGTAAATCATACTAACTGAGAGGACTATTAAACTGAAATACTAAAAGCGGAGTATGAATGTTAATATATTTATCACATAACCTTATGGAGATAAAGAGCCATTCAGCAAAAGTTCTGTGTTCTGCCTTTGTCGCTGCAGAGGCTCTTATTGTGAAGTCTCACAGCGGGCAACAAGGGATTTGAATTCTTTAAAAAGGAGTTGTGGTTTCCTGCACGCTAACGTCCCCCCCCCCCCACCCCCCAGACGAATTTATTCAAATCCAATTACACCCTCTGCCGCATTTTATTCCGTTAATTTGTGTTTGTGTTTTGTTGTTTTTTTTCCCCGTCTCGGCTGCTGATCTCCTCTTTCATTCACCGTGCTCATAAGTCCCATGAATATACGCTCGACTTAATGGAGCATTGAGAATTAATTTGGACTCTGAAGGCTCCTTAGATAAGCTTTTGCACACCGCAGGCAGTGCAACAGTGTATCTGCTGCATGGTAGACCATTTTCCTGTATTTAAATGAGCAGAGAAAACCAAAAGAGAAACTCGGTAAACGGCTTGAGCTCATTTAAGCTTTTTACGCTGAATCAACGATGAAGAGACGGCAGCAAACACACCTCCAATGAGCAGATTATTTACAATCTTTAAAAGGGAACTTTCCAGTTCAGATGATAACATGACACTGCGTGACAAGGCAACCCTCCTCCATTAAAGACAGGGAAAACAAACAATCGCTCTTCAAAATAAGAGTCCCTGCAGCGTGACAGAATGCTTGATCCTTCTCACCTGAGTCATTTTGAGCTCTGATTGTTGAATTTCAATGAGCAGCTGCTGGACGTCTTAAGCAGTTTCTCATCTTCTCTCCGCAGCAGCGCGGATGATCTGAAATCTCCGTTTTGCAGTTTCTGATTCAGATTTCAGATTTCTTCTTTGGCAAAGCGCTGATGTTCGCAGCTATTGGCGTCTCCTTTGCTTTTAGTATATTTGATTTAGAGAACTTACATTGTTCAATGCTAATGAGTTAATAACCTGGAACTTTAGCTAAGAAATGTAAGATATTTTATTCTTTATTTCATTAATGTTAAAAATGCGTAAAGACCCAACCATGTTGTTTATATAATATAATATATTTAGTCTGTTGAATTTTAAGAACCAACTTCTATATTTAATTTTCCTTGTGTTACATTGACCTAAAATGGGTTTCACAGATCTTTCACTTGACAAAGCCATTTCGCATCCTTCTTCGTGGAAGCACGGCCCAAAGTCCTCCAAAGGAAATGTTCGGTGGAGCACAAAGACTCACAGCAAAGAGAACCTCATTATTTGGAGATGTCGCCTACTTTTAAACGATACAAAGCCGACACTTACGCCGCCACACAGGCTGAAGAAAAGGTCTCCGGGAGAGGGCGGGGGGGGTCAAGCTAAATGGGTAAAAAGAAAAGGGGTGAACAGGTGAAGTCAAACAGGCAGAACTGATGACCGCAGAGGGAGGGGTGGCGGTGGGCTCGGGGTGGGAACAGGTGTTGAGATGGGCGGATTGGGGCTCAGGTGATGGAGCAGAGACGCGTTAGTAAGCAGGTGGTCGCTAATCCTCGAGTAGTTTCTCATGTTCTTGTGTGTCAGGTTTTACAGAGCTGTGGAGACTGTTTTACCTTTTAGAATTGAAGCGATTGGCCAAATGGTGTGTAATCGATTCACGGAAAAGTAATCACAAGCCATTTTGTTACGCTTTTATCCTCTGGTGTCAAATTCTCCACCATTTTGGATAGTTGTAAAAGTCATTCTCAGAATATTTTTCGTTGAGTAAACACTGAACACGTTAAAGTCTGTTGATTCTTGTGTCATTTCGTTTACTGTTTCTCGGTCCTCTCCCGCCTTTTAATACCTTCCCTGGCTGACTATTACTTGTTGAGGCATTTTGAACACTCACATTGACCTCTCTCTCTCACACACACACACACAGACACAGACACACACACACACACACACACACACACACACACACGCACGCACACACTGTTTCCTTTGTATTACCTTTTGCAACATTTTCTTACATTACATCACCCAAATCTTGAAGCAAGTCTTCACCCAGAAATATAATGATTTTGTCCCCATGAGGATAGTGAGTCCCCACAACGAAGCTGCGTGCGCAGACGTGTGTCCTCATAAGGCCGGTGACACACGGACTGCGGGGCCGTACCTTCTCTAAGGACCTGGTTGTGGAGGATCAGGAGCAGCAGGAAGCAGACCGCAGAGGCAGTCACAGCCCAGGCCAGCCGGAGGAGCTGCATGAGGGAGAGCCGGGAGCCGCACGGGGAACCAGAAAGTCCGAAACTATCCGCAGGCGGGTGCGTCCTCACTGCGCCACGTCCATTCCAGTCCGACCGGGATGAAGACAGGGACCGCAGATGGGGGACATCTCCCGGATATAAAAACACACACGAGCAAAATCCACCGTGAAGCTTCTTTGAAGTAGTGAGATGTTATTTTGTTTTCCCTCCCCGGACTCTCCAGGTGAAGCCGCCGGGGTCCCTCCCTGGCGCGTCACGGTGCGCAGCGGCGGTCGGCAGCAGCAGCACATGCCCGGGGTGATCCCCTCCACGACACCATGTTCATTAAAATACTCAAATCTGCTACAGATATGAAGTTTTCCAGTTTCACCGACTCCGACTCACAGCTCTCTGCGCTGCCGATCCACCGGGACTCTCCTTCCGCCCGTCCGCGTAAATCCCCCCAGAAGTGGAAAAGCCGAACCGGGGCCCGGCTGAAGCCGCTCTGCGGGCATGATCCCCCGGGTACGTCGCCCCGTGGGTCGGCTGGTCGGTGCCCGGCTGCCCGGTTGTGGAGAGAGGAGAAGGAAGATGATCAGGAGAAGAAGAAGATGCTGCCCCCTTTCTGATGATCCGGCGCGATCTGCAGTGTCCCACTCACTCTCTTTCTCTCTCTCTCTCTCTCTCTCTCTCCCTCTATCTCTCTCTCTCCCTCTCTCGCTTTCTCTACTAGTTACAATAACCTGTTTACCACAGAACATCCTGGGAATTACCTCTCCATTATCACCAAATAAACACTTGCAGGAACTAAAATAATTTTCCCAACCTGGCAACTAAAAAATATTCGTTTATTTTTTTCTATTAAATTTTCATTAAAAAATCTCTATTTAACATCAGAAAACCATAAAAAAAAATATTTGGATTTAATTGTTAATTTTCTGACTTCTTGAAACATGTATGCATGTTACTTTGTTCAGGAAAGTAATGTGTAAATAAAGTTTACTGTACTTATGATTTCTTCTTTTTCCTCAGCAGTCCAAAACTTATATAAAAATAATGAAACGAGACAAAGAACAGATGCATCATCAGATCATCTTGTTTCAGAAAGAAGTTCTCTCTGGAAATATTGGTTTCTTTTCAAATATATATGCATAGTACATTTTGTTTATAACGCATTCTTCATCAGAGAAATGTTGTATTAACATCAACGATGACAGATGTTTTGATTAAAGTGGTGCCGGATAGTTTACCCACACAAAGAAAATGTTACAATTCTGCAGTGGTGGAGTTCAACTAAGTACAGTGAAATGTCAGCGACTTGAAATGATTTTATAACTGTATTTAATAGTTACAGCCCACTTGAGATAAATATTTCCGTCATGCTTCCCTCGCTGCATGAGCAAAGTGGATGGAATAAATAGATGGATGCAGACAGAAAGATAGATGGAGATAATTCTCCTTTATTGGATTGTTTCTGCTGCGGTTGAAGGAAACTGCAGGACCCCGTAGTTGGCAAGCTGCAGTTACAACATGAATTATTGCCATAATCCAGCAGCCAACAACTATTTTGGTTTTCCCTGAATTGAGACGGTTGCTGGGCTCCAACTCTGCAATCTGCTTCTCCTTACATGCTGCTCTAATTACTGAGTTTGTTTTCTTCCATGCGAGAATAAATTATTCAGAGTTCCTCTGCTGTATAGCTGCACAGTGGCTCCGTCATGATACAAACATATAATGATGAATTCATGTATTGATACATCTAAAAACATGGTCATGTTTATACGCATGGGTATACGCATATTCATATACACAGTTCAGGACGTTGGGATATACTGATATTTAATACTGCCGACTAGCTGCAGCATTTCGTCAATCAGCTGATGGTTTCCTGCTGAGCGATGAGGCGTTCAGGGTCCAACATCTCACTGCGGTATGTTTACATGCACTCTGACTTCAAAGCGCTCGGCCTGTGACACACCGGGTGAATGTGAGCCGAGCGGAGGACGGAGGAGTCGTGATTAAAGTTGAGTATTTTCACCAGTGTGCAATCAGTACTTTGACTCATACAGGATGCCTCTTTAGTTGAAAGATGTTGATGCATGAACACTAGGACTGCGGTTCCCGGCGTACCCTCTCTAGGCGCACCCTCTCTGCTCCATGCGCCACCATCGCCCCAATCTCCCCACATTTAGCCAGGACGTTTTGAAACCACGGCCTTTTAGGGACATAGTGGTGGTCCTCTGCAGACTGTGTGCCACGCAGGGTAAAGTTAGATGTTGAGATGGAAGTAGCATAGCAGCTAGCTTAGCCTAGCAGCGAGCATAGCATAGCAGTGCTTTAAGTGGTCCGTTTGCCACTCACACCCCTTCTGTTCGAAACTTGGAGTAGCAAAGCGGAAGCAAAGCGGATATAAACAAACAGACGTTAACTACGTCAAAATATTTTGTGTGCATTAATTCCGGCCACATTAATCACATAGATTAACCTGCTTATGTAGACAGCCCTAATTAAAACACATGAAACACAATGTCTTGCATGGGCAATGGGAGATCCATCCATCCATCGTCAAACCGCTTATCCTGCACACAGGGTCGCAGGGGGGCTGGAGTCCATCCCAGCCAACTTCGGGCGATAGACAGGGTACTTGGTCACCAGCCAATCGCAGGGCTACACAGAGACACACAACCATTCACACTCACATTCACACATCTACGGGCAATTTAAAGTCCCCAATCAACCTGATCCCCAGAGCATGTCTTTGGACTGTGGGAGGAAGCCGGAGAACCCGGAGAGAAACCACGCAGACACGGGGAGAACATGCAGACTCCACACAGAAAGGCCACTGGGCGGAATCGAACCCAGGACCTTCTTGCTGTGAGGCAACAGTGCTAACCACCACGCCACCGTGCCGCCCGCAATGGGAGATGATGGGAACATTTTGTGGGGACGTGTGGTGGAGACGTTCGGCGGGGACGTTTGGTGGGGACGTTTGGGAACTGCAGAGAGTCTCTCCCCTGTCGATGATCTCGATTGACGGTCCAGGTATTCTTCTCCGATGGACTTCCTCCCGCTCTGTCAGGGATCCCTCTTTCTAGGCCTCTGGCGGCAGTGATTACTTGTCAACCGTCAATCAGCGTTGTGTGTCCACGGAGACGAGCTCAACACAAGCACTGTCAGGACTCCTCTGGTCACTGCAACAGGAAATGAAGTCTGTCTTTTGGACAGAATTCATTCCACATTTCAGTCAGGAATGTATAGGAGGGTCAGTATGAGTGTTTTTATGGCGGGTTTTTTTTTTTTTTTATTTCGCAAGAACTTCAAGTGTGTTGTCATCATGCGGTGAAGTGTGAACCCCATTAAAAAAACACAGAGGAGGGTGTTTATTTGATCGAGATGTCTGCCTCCGGTTCAAAACACCTCTAGACTGAAGGAAGCAGAGGATACACTTCAGGCAGCATGAAAGAAATGCTAATCCACAAATGAATTGGCACACAATCAACCAGGGGGACGCACGCAGCTGCAACAATTCTCTTGAAGACTCCCTCTATAATTCCAAGCTTTGGAGAGCAGTGGGAACAGGTGAGTGGGAGGTCTTGAGAAACAAGTGAAACCAATCAGGGCAAACGTACCTGCAGGGAAGGCTCACAGTGAAGGAAAGTTAGCTGCATTCTCTGCAGTGACCAGCAGGGGGCGACTCCTTTGCTCCTATAGTCTATGTGAAAATTACTCTTAGACCTAAGCGTCAAATGTCTTTCCGGAAGTGGAAAAGCATTGATTCAGCCGCTATGACCATGGACCTCCAGCTCATCACTTGCCCAGCCTCTGCATCAACGGATGCATTAGTGGAACTATAATACACCCCTGAGCAGTGTTTTTGATCTCCAAGCCCCCGTCACGCAAGGTCAATTTGTCACGCTCCGCTCATTGGTTCACACATGAGCTCCGGAAAATAAAAACAGCTGGGCGTGTCCTGCATCAACGCCGCAGGCTCTCAGGGCTCACTATCCATGAACTGGCTTTCCATGAGCATCAGAGGGCCTACTCCAACTCTCTTAAAGATGCTTGCTCACAGTTCTATTCCAACCTAAACCCTGGCAGCTCTAGACAGCTTTTATCCCACTGTAAACCCTCTCCTGAGCCAACCATCCTTTTCAATTGAGGCTACAGAAGAGCAAGAGCAAGACAACAGCTTCATTGACTTTTTCAGATCCAAGGTCAACAACATACGGTCTCTGATGTCCAGCTCTCCACCTCTGCTTCCCTCTCACACCAACACTTTATCTGCCAGTGTGCTGTTCCTCTACATCTCGCTGAGGTTCAGGAGAGCCAGGTCGAGGAAATCCTCAGAAAAGTGACATGATGTACCTGCACCCTCAACCCCATTCCCACTGCTCCGATCAAGTCGCATATACCCACTCTCAGTCCTTTCATTACCAGAGTTGTTAACCTTTCCCTTCATTCCGGCTGTGTCCCACCTGCTCTTAAGGTTGCTGTCATCTGTCTCCTCCTCAAGAAGCCAACTATAGACCTATCTCCAACCTTGCCTTCCTGTCCAAGGTGTTAGAGAAGGTAGTTGCTTCTCAACTTCAGGACCACCTCAAGCACAACAACTTGTTTGCAAAATTTCAGTCAGGATTCCGTCCAGCTCACAGCACGGAACACAGCCTTTTGCTCGGCAGCACTTAAGTGGTCAGTCTCCCTGACCACCTGAGGGCAGCACGGTCGCTGGATTTTTAATACTGCCCTAAAAACCTTTTTATTCAAGAATGTTTTTACTAGCTTTTACTTGATTTTTCACTGTTTTGCCATCTCTGTCGCAGTCTAAGATCCGCTGATGAAGAATGCGTTATAAACAAAATGTACTATGCATATATATTTGAAAAGAAACCAATATTTCCAGAGAGAAATATAATGACAGTTTCTGATTTCCCTTTAATCTTCTTTGTTGTGTTGTGTTTTTTAACACTCTGAATCCATTGACTGTTTAAGACGTACTGACCACCAGCGATAAAGTCAGCCTTAAAAAAGCAACGTTTTACTCCTCCGGCCTTTCCGTTTCCCGCTTCATGCTGGTGGAGAAATGCAGCCATGCGTGAAAAGGCTCGTTCTCGAGTTGCGCCTGCGCTAAAAAAAGAGCGACGTTTAAAAAAAAAAAAACAAGCAGAGAGGATTCTCTCCTGCAGACATCGCAGCTGTAAAACAATCCAAACAATGCTGTTCATATAGAGAGAGAGCTGGAATAAGTTCTCGTAAAAAAGAGGAGGAGTGAAGTGAATGAAACTGGCCTCAGGTCAGCAGTGAGCACATTTTATCCTAATTCAAAATGAAATTCTGAGAGTCATTGCTATGCAGAGCACAGGGGCGATGAAGGCGAGGCATGAATAAGAGAATATCTGAGAGACTAAAATTCCTCTCTTCATCTCTCGCTCTCACAGCAGCCCATCAGGAAAATATGAATTAGAAATAAGATGCTTTTGGTTTGTTTTCAATCAAAATGAAAACATGGCACACTGGGTTGGATGCATTCATATCTCTCTTATTATTATAATTAGCAGTTTGAATAACATTCGCACTACAAATTAAAATACATATATACAAAAACCTGTCGACAAGTAATAACATTCATATCAAGATCACTTTAAGTGGAACATTTTATTTATTTATATTCTTTTTAATGAGAAATTAAAGTTAATGTGAAAGAGGTAATTTGGCATGTTCATTTCAGGAAGATGCTAGATGGATATTTTAGAGCTTCGCGTT